AGGTAAATTTAGAGTAGCAAGAAAAGGACAGTTTTATATTTGTCAACTCTGTAGCAGGCTTCTTCAGGACTGGCAGATTGCAATAACCATTAATTATCTGTTAATTTTGACAGTGAACGTTTTCCTTAAAAAAAAAAAAATCACAGATGACAAGTCCATGCAGGACAGCATAAATATTCTTTGAGTGCACCTGCCTGCCGCCTTGGCCCAAAGTGGAGATTTCCCTGAGTCAAAGCACATAGCTTTGATACATACCTGTTGTGTAAATGCGCTCAGCATAACTATCAGTGCCAAAGGTACAAATCTTACATGGTGGGCAATAAACTACACAGCAGTAATGCCTTCTAATTAAGAGTAAAGTGCCTCATCTCCTTCTTCCGTCTCTGCAGATCATCCTACTCTATCACAGTAATGAGTACTGTTACTATGAAGCTTTCTGGGCACAATTTGGGCGGGCAGAACAAGAGGAAACAGTTACAATGCTAATGGTCTCTGTGCTGTGGACACAGCAAGACTCTCAAAAAAATCGTTGTGCATGATCTATAGCCCATGGATTTGATACTTTGGAAGGAAAAGACAGAACTCTCTCCCTCACCCTGTCCTTTTATTTGAAATTAGTTTTTAAAAAGAAATAATTAGAAATTTTCTGAATAAATTGCCAACAAAAAGGAAAAAATATTGGAAACACCGGAACGGAACACAGAGATTATATGGGTCTAGTTCATGTATCATCAAAGTTCTATTTAGGAAAACCTGAAAATGAGAAGTTTGCATTATGTGATGAAAAAAGTTTGGCCAAATAGAGTTCTCTCACTAGCAAGACCAGAGCTGCTTCAGGAATCTTCCTGGTAGTGGTGAGCTACAGGAGGAGTCAGTCTAATTCCCAGAAGGTCTTCTGGAAGATTTGGATCAACAAAGGTTTTCCTAGGCAGTGCTGTTTTGGAGCCAAAAGAGACTGCAGCCATGCATGTCTTTTGCAGAGCCACTCACACTACTGGATACCAGCAAGGTGTATGTCAAAATACAGCCTGCCAAAAGTGTTCAAAGCACTCAGTTTAGTTCTCTGAGAAGTTTTTCTGTCTCAACTTGATAAACCATATGCAGATCTATCTGTGGTTTATCCTGTAATTTTATTACAGGCTTGTGGAGAATAGCTCAACTCAGAGACAAAGTTGACGTATCTGAGTATAAAATGCAAGGTGGAGAAGAGGGATTAAAAGAAAACCAGACCAAATTATAGCCTCTTTTGTAATGACCCCTTCCTTCTCTTGCAGTATTAAAAGGCCACAGGTGAAACCTGCTCTGTAAAAGAATCATTACACCGGAGCACATGGGGCATTTGTGCACCAGAAGAAATGGCTAAGTGAGCAGTGCACATGCAGTAATTCAAGAGACCAAGAACAGTAACAAAAGCCAAGAATGACTGGTAAAAACAAAGAATTGGCAGTGCTTCCTGGAGCACATCAAGGCCACACTGTGTATAGAAAAATACCAAAAATGCAAAACAGTAACTCTGTGTAACAACTCAACTCTGAACCTTCTTTGCCAAAACAAAAAGGCTTCTGGGACCAGCATTGTCATTTATCAAGAACCATAGAAACAGAGAAGGATGTGATAGCTAGCAGTCCTTGTTCTCCATGCCACCACAAGCAATCCTGGCATCTACAAGAAAAGGAAATCAGTTTTGTTTAAAACAGGGAGCACCTTTCTGTATGGTGTGCTCATACAATGCGTTTTGCTGCATTTATTGTGGCATCAAAGTAGAAGAAGAAAACAACATTCTAGTTCAATTATAATTACAACATTCTTGCTCAATTACAAACAATATCAGTACAATGCATAGAAGACACTCAAATTCCATCAAGTCTTGAAGTAAAAGCTGTCACATTTGCAAAAAGGAGAATTAACCTTTTAGGAAGAAACAGCAGTAACTCATGATAAAAAGATGGTAAAAGCAGAAGACACATTGCAAGGCATTTACATTACATTCCTGTTTGCTCAGGTGTACAACAGAGAGTTTTGCACATGCAAACACATTGCATCTTCCAGACAAACCCTGCTTGATTGTTGTGGTTCTGAACAGAAGCTAAATAGATTGCAGCAGCTGCATATTCAGTCAGTTGGTGTGATTAGAGACAGACTGTCAATGCTGAAGCGTGATTACCATGATATAAAGCTTACAAACTAATCAAGTCACAAATTAAACAGTATTTAGATGACTAATTGTGTGACTGCATATTATATTTACCACAAGTCCCAAATATTTCTTCTAGAGTTCTGACCTGTCACAAAAGTTAAATCAAACCATCCAAAAGCCTGAGATTAAGGAAAAAATGTGCTGATCCTTTCTCTCATCTTATATTACTTTGTGATGCACTTACATTTTATCTGTGCACACCATCACTAAGAGCAAGGCAGTTTTAGTCCCTGACACAGGTAGCTTCACTCAGCTCCACTCAGCTGAAACAATTCAGCTGAACTCAACTGGAAACAAGACTTACTGCACACACCCGTGGTATAGAACAGGGCTCAACTGTACACACACAGCACAGTCCAAATTGCTGCGTGGGATCTGGAGGGAAACAGCTCCTGAACTTGTATTATATAAAAAACAGCACTTTGTGATCATCTGCTGTGGCATACATATATACAAGACAATAATCTTGGCCACAAAATATCATTCTACTTTGTTTTGCCAATTGATGGGGGCAATTTAAAGAACACAGACATCAGTGGAAAGAAAGATCTTATTTTACTTTGAGTATTAATTAAGTATTAATAAGCTTACTACATGCTCAGTGTTAGCAACATGCAAAAATAAGCAAGGTAATGCACCTCATCATTACTACACAAGAGAAAGGACAGTGATTTAGAAAGACATATCACCAACTGCCTAAATACTTTACCATCATCCAGAATAAGAAATTGCTGGGGAGCCCCATTTTGCAGTGATGACCTGGAGAACCTTTCCTGGAAATTGGGAGAATCCTGGCAATTGGTGCATCCACTCGTAGATGAGGTCTCTAAATTCACCCTGAAAGAGGATCCAGCTTTTATAGGTCCAAATCAGCAAGTCAAAGTGACTTGATTATATTTTTAGTGCAGAAGCACCTGTATCTGATGGCATACTTCCCTCCCAGTTGGGGGCAGGGCATGGCCTGGGGCCAGGTCTTGGCTGGGAGTATTTTCCCTAAAACACCCTACAAACAAGCCTCTATTAATGCCAGTGGGAAAGTTCCTTAAAACGATACAATTCTTGCAGATAGTTGTACAAGATGCAAAAGTTTCTAAAGCAGCCAGTTTGGCAATAAACAGCTAGCATCTCAGTCATTTGTTTTTAGCTAAACAATACTGTTAGTCACATAATGCCCAGGATTCATGCCCTAAGTCAGCTCTGGCTGAGGGCTGCTGCTCAGCCCTTAGCACCTCACACTTCCAGCCCACTCTTACAGAGTATAGTAACCATGCTCTGTACATTAATATGTACAGACTGCCTATATAATTTGGTACCTACTCTACAACTCTTGCCAGTAGGAGCTTAGAGATTTGCTACTTGTTCTAGGGGAAAAGGTTTCCTTCAGGGAAGGGTATTGTCTAGACAGATACAGCTTTTTCACAAGAAGGAAACGGTCTTTCTTTCCCAAAGCAAAACTGACAGAATACTTAAGATTGTCACTGTCATGCAAACCTTATCTGTTAGAAAGGATACTGCATTTTTCAGTGACTATCTGTTCTAGGGGCTGAAGGTGTCCAAGCTTTTAAGACCAGTTAAAAGATATGCTAGATAAGTTAATGCAAGAAGTTTACAGTACTCCTAAATCCCTCTTCCCTATTCTGATTAACATATTTTTGAACCTGTACCAGTGAGAAGTAGGACTGTAGTTATCTTAATCCTCTAGCCTGCAATGAAGAGGATGATGTTTGATTAAACAGGCAATAAAAACTTATACAACTAATGTTAATGGATAAGCTTTTCTCTACACTCTCAATTACCCATCCTAGGAAATCTGTTTACTTTTCAACTGCCAACAACCAATAGAGAACACAGTAGGCTACAGGGAAAATACCAACTCTTCTTCCTTACAAGGCCTAATACTTTACATTAGCAGCTCAAGTGGCAGCAAAATGAAGGAACACATGAGCAAGATGATGGTTGCTGTTCTTCTACAAGCCTCAAAGTCTTGCACTAGCATACTCACCACAAAATTAGAAAAGAGAATGCTGAATGTGGTTCCAAGGCAGAAAGATGACAATGGCTCAGCAGGTATCCCTGAGATCCACTGTACAACAGCAGGCGGGCACACAGTTAAGATGCAGCACCAGCATGTGTAAGCTTGGTTCTCTCCACTGCAGAAGTCTAGTTACCCAACAGAAACTTTGCTACCTCTTGAATTCAGGCAAAGCTGAGTCCAGTGTCTGCACTACAGATTGTCCTACAGACACAGGCTGACATGAGAACTAGTGTAGTGTAATTTCCCCAGCTGGATCTCCCTCCTCTGTCTCTCACTGCAATCTTCAATGCTTTGAAGGAAACAGTATTTGTATATTTTCCTCACATAACTTCTCCTGCAACAATGAAATAGGAAAAAAAAAAAACCCTCCTAACAATTCACATTAAATCTGCACTTCACACTGTTTTCAAGGCAGTGGATGTGTCTTTGCAGAAGTCTGAATGCGTGACTGCTGAGAGAGCGTATGCAAACTCGTTTGTTAATACTTGAGCCTACTAACTGAAACAAAAACATATCCTATCCTTTCCTCACAGGGATACACTTTTATTATAGGTCTAGAAGACAGTCATATGTTCACCTAAGCTGCATGTGAGAAGAAAATGTTATTTGTAGTTTTCCCCCTTAGGATACATATCTGTGCAGAACAGCACGTGATTCAGCACAGAGGTTCTGCAAAATTACTCTGTGTACACCTGTAGCCTGCAAGCAGTTTTGACAGTTATTGCCTCAGAGCACGACTCTAGAAGGACAAGACAGCAAACCAGATAATCTTTTTTTCTCAATAATGATTTTATTGTAAAATGAAGGGTTAATAAAAGTTCTCTGTCCATAAGGATATAATAAGTTCATATTTTATATATGAAAATACTGAAAAATAACCATCCAGCGACGATTACAGCGTTTTATCAATGGCTGGGACTCAGGGCATTTTCACTCATTTTCACTCATCATCCACAGCAATCAAAAAATCAGTTTTTTTGGTAATCCTGAAAAGTGTAAATCACATTGTTAATAAAGTATAGAGGTCCAGCCCCCTCCTCAAGGCCCCCTCCTACTCTTAACTGTTGAATGCTGCTTATGACAGTGGCAGTACATGATAACATTTTCTAACAAATCAATGAGAGAGTGCCAGAAGCAAAGTTCACTTGAAGCAGTATGTATATTCCAAAAGTCAAATTCTGTAATTAAGTTTTAATTGCATTTAGGATACATGTAAATATTTCTCTTTGTTCATATAAAAATCTAACTGTTGATATGCAAAGCTAACCACTTAATTCTACTTTGAAACCCAAGAAAAGCAAGCTGTTCTAAGGCTTAAACTTGTCCCACCACACACATACTCTAAAGGATTTTTCTTATGTGCTGTCAAATCTAGGACAAATTCTTGATCTTATATATGGAGTGTTTTTGGTTTTTTTCAAAACCAATAGTTTTGATATCAGATTCCTTATGCTTAATCTACATAGAAAAACTTCAGTGCATCATCCTTTATAATCCCTGCTTTGTGTAGCTACAGCTCTGTAGGAATGCATATTAATAGGACTAGAAATAGGTGTTCTGGGGAAGCAGTGCTGCTTCTGGTTAAGTGACAGAGAGGAGATGGGCAGCTATGTCATCATAGAATCAGTGTCTCCCAAAACCTCACTGATCAGAAGTAAGTGATAGCAGCAGATACAAAGCACGTATGTTTCACACTTTTCTCAGGCAGTTATCCATCTAGTGGTAGTTTTCCTCTGAGAATAGAGGCTGTTTTCTGAGAAGTATTTAGATTTGGTGAACATACCCCACAGGCTACAGGGGTTTGTTCTTGTGGAAAAGCAGCACATATGGCAATGGCATGAATCTTTATCCCAACAGTCAGCTCCTAGTGCCAGTAATTTCAAAGAGGATACCGATCAGCAAGCACTCAGTTTATTCTGCCATGTTCTGGAGTACTAACTCAACAGGGCTAGGGGAAAGAAATGTGCTCTGGAGGATGCAAGGCCATTCTAAGAATTTCATGGAATGCAACTTATTTTTCTTGGAAATTACATTTGCATATTTCCACCCCTGACAGCAATGTTGTCCTTCAAATTTTTATTTAAACCAAGACTGGAGGATTATTCTTCCAAATTACTATTCAGATTTTAAATTTAGATGGTAATGCTATGTAAGAAGAGCAAATGGAATCCAGGGCAGCAGATTTGCTAGCTCTATCATTGGCTGTCTCCTTTAAGATTTGTTGGCACTAGAGGAACTACTTTTGAAACCTTCTGGATCTGTCAGCCCATCTAAGGCAGTAACATGAATGAAAATCCACATTAGAAAATACATCATGTCTCCATTTCCAGTTGGTAGAAATTATAATGCTTTTTATACCAATACTCAAAGGTCTCAATAAGTAATGCTAACTTCTTTACCATCTCATTTCTAGCCAATCTCAAAACTCCTAGCATTTACACAGAAGCATGGAAACATGTTAAAGCAACAATTGTTCTAGCTTGATAGAGCTCTGGAAACTCTGCTCATTGTCAAATGCACAAATTCAAATCATTAAGTCACAGAAATCAAGCAAGCATTTCTCTCTTTTTCCTGTCCTTTAGTTAACAGGTGTAGTTTAGGGTGTATACCCCCAAACACTTATCACAAACCCTCACATGATCTTTGGAAAATGACCTAAAATGCTTGAATTAATTGTCTATGCTATTGTAACTTGACAAGTCCCCACATGCCAGAACACCCATGGTTTTGCAAACAATGTGCAAGTAGTCAGCTGATAACTTTTTTTTTGAGATTGAAAACTCAAAGTAGTGAACCTAATGTATTTTACTTCTAATTTGATGAAGACATAGAAATAACAATTCAAAGTGCCTAAAAAGCAAGCTGAACCCTAATAAGGGAGATTTCTCTCTGAACTCAAGAGGAAATACACTTTTATCAAAGTAGCTCCATTCAAAAAAAAAAATCACTCATATTAAAACTGAGTCTCATACTGGCAATAACAAAAAGCTGATGATAACCTGACAGCTGCTATCTAGCATATTCCAGATGCTAAGAAGACCAACTCAAGTTTAAAAATAGTATTTACCTCCCTAATAGAAGGCCTGAGTAATTTAGTGTCAGATACAGTCTTGAGTCCTGAGCACTTGTGTTGCCACAAAGGTATGAAATACATCCTACTGTCCGGAGGTGGGCTTAATGTTCCTTACCCAGAGTGTTCTTAAAAGCTAACCTCCTTACCTTAAGACAGAGTGAGCAAAAATCTCTCCTCTGAATCTGATCTACCCTCTCCAGCCTGTCACTTCACAGAATATCATGCTATGTTTCAGACTCTCTCTCTCTTTTCTTAAGTGGTGTGAAGTTAAATTACTTCCACCTGAGTAAGAGGTCTCAGGAAAAAAAAAGGTTCATCATAATAGCCTATAATTTACTGGGGAGTACCACTCTCCATTTCAGAATCAATGGAATAGGGTTATTTCTTCTAATAGATTCCTAAGCATCATTGAAGAGCCTTTTTTGTGCTAATTCTGTTAGAACACAGGTCTAAGTAATTCTGACCTCAAACCATATATCATTAAAGGGCTTCAGCCAGTGCTCAGGGAATTAGTTCATTTAGAGAGTTTTTTTTCTAAAACACTGAAGCATCCCATTCTCTCTGAACATGTAGCTCCTATTTAAAATTGGTGACATATTACAAAGTTACCTTGATCTATTCCATCTGTTCTTTTCCTTTTTAAATTTAAAAGTGCATTTTGTGGCTCCTTTGCAGCTTCAGCAGGACAGTTGGGTCTTGGAAGCTGATTTCCTGGAGTGGGTCCTGGTCGGTTACTGAAGTACTTCTGTTTCAATGCCTTAATGATAATCGAAGAAAAAGAAACAAGTAATTAGTATGAAGTGTAATTTATAAAGAGGTTATAGTGAAACCAAGCACTTTTAATTGGGCCTTAAAAACTACTTGAACACTTTTATACTACAGAGTGGCCTCAGGGCAAATAAAGGTTTTGTTCGCAATTACTATCCACCCCACATGGATCTGTAAAGCAAGAGATAATTGTACACTCCTATTTTTAACCAGTATTCAGACATCCTGACAAAACTAGATTATTTTGTAAGAAGTCTTGTATAAGTGGCTTCTAGCTCTGAAGAGCTTACATTCTGAATAGACAGATCAGATAAGATGACAATATAAAACAAAGTAGGAATAATGAAAAATTAAGGGAACATTTTTGAAGTCTTCATCAGATTCACGATCTAGACACCAGCTGTTTTGTTAGTTTTTAAGATGGGTCTTTCCCCCATACTTCTCTAACTGTGCTGTTTCTACCCTGTAAATTGTGAGAAAGAAATCACTTGTATTAGAGCAGAAGACAAACACTAGTTAGCAAGATTGGTTTCATGTAGCAGAATTACATACCTTACTTTAAATTTTTGGAACCATGAAGTGTGATTAAAAAAAAGTAGCTGTCTCTTAGGTAATAATTTCTTGTGCCAGTTACATGATATTCAATGTCAGCTATAAAGTTTAGACTAGAAAAGTAACATATTCAAGTCACTATCTTATAATATGACCTGAAAAATGACTACATACTTTTGAACTATCACAGAGATGTCTCAAGCATAGCAGAACTAATTATCTGGAAACTTACAGTGAATGTTCTTAAAATGGTGGCCAAAACAGCCTGAATGTGCTCTGGAAAAGTCTTCTAGTAAAAAGATACATAACACATGCGCTGATCTCATGGATTCAAATCTAAGCAGCAGTGAGGGAGTCCTGGCTCAAAGGGGAAAGTGGTTTCTTGCATGCTTCCCTATCAGTGTAAAGTGATAGAAATACACTTTTAACTGACAACTGGTGTATGCGCCTCATCACAGAAATTAGTATTGCAAACTAGAACATTCTGCAAGATTTTTCTTCCAAGTCCTCCATTTCTCCCTATCACGAAGTAGTAAAATTTAAAGTTACACAGAAAAGGATAATTAGATAAGAATGATAGTTTAATCACCACAGAATTTTATGTTTAAGAAGTACCATAAAAGTTTAAAATACATTGCAGAAGAGACAGGATGAAGTGAGGAGAAAAATCTTCCAAACCCAGGGAATAAGATATGCTATGTTAAGACTTAACCTTTAAGTTTTAGGTGACTGAATTCAGCATGTCAAATATGACTGTTGGAAGGTCATGGCTCATACACATTTTAGTTCTCTACCTTGACTCCACACTGGGAATGGAGATGACCACTTAGTACTATCCATGCCTTTCTATAAAACACTGGGATTATGTTTCTTGTAACTCATGTCATGCTTCATTTCAAACATGGCTAACTGGCTTAAAAAAACATTTACCTGATATTAACATTGGTTAATGAACATTAGGAGATAACCCAAGTGTACTATACCTGAGTAGCTGTTACTCTAGTGGAAGGATTAAACGTGAATAAGCCTTGAAGAAGACTGAGCAGATCATCACCAGCTGCACTGAAGATATGTTGAAGTGGCATTCCAGGGAATGGCTTAAATGTGACATAATCTGGAAGACTTGTCATCCCCTACAAAGACCAAAAATGGAATATATGTTTTTCCCCTAGAAAGAGTTCAGCTTTTCACAGAAAGTGAACTGCATATGGCTTTTTCACCAGAAGCAACTTATCTTTCAAAACACATTGCTAATATTTGGTCACTGAAATAAAATAACTAGAGGTATAGAAGGTCATAAAATCTTTTTTTTAAGTAACTGTTACAGTGTGAAACAGCTATCCCACATGATCTGTCCTTCCCTTGCCTTAGTTGTGACCAGTCCAAAAGGAAAAACTGCTAAAGAAAGTAGGAAAGAATTTTAGACTGGGTCAGACAAATGAAATAAAACCTCCTTTAGTGAACTGACATGGCAAGAGGGAAAATATTTACAAAAGAGTCAGTCTTCACCTTATCTACATTAATAAACATTATCTGAACATCATGTGCATTTTGATTTTAAAAGCACAATTGAAACTTTATATGGGCAATGGGAGGAGGGAAGGAAAATACGCACCAAGCAGTTAGACAAAAAATTAATTGCATACTTTTTTGTCCTCTAGGTATGAAATCAACCCCATTGTGTTCACATTCTAGCATAAAAATTACACAGACAATGGTAACAGACAATTACACAAACATAATGATTTTATAGTGTCTTAAGTATTTAAAGCCTTAGCTGTCACACTTCAAGTTTGTCCAAGTAAAGTAAAATATTAAAACAAAGTCAAATATGTGTTCAATCAGTTATAATCTTGATAGTAAAGGCTGCAATTATTAAAATGTACACATTTGGAAATGAACTTGGGAATTATGTCATCTTTGTTGTGTTAACCAATCTCCTATTCCCTCTTTTCCCCACTAGTATCTTAAATTTTCCTCTCCACAGGAAGCAGAAATGTCATTTCAAAAACCTTCATGCATTCCATTTAGAACCCTCAAGAAATATCAGAATTGTGGGGGCCTAGCAGTGCCTCACACGGCAGTTCTCCATTTGGCTACAGCTCAATTTCATGATCACATACCAAAGCATTCCAGCACCACTTACAATAAAGAAAAGCTGCATGGAGAGAAGGCAGAGGTGAACAAGTCCAGTGAGCGCTTCCACAACTCAATAACAAAAGACAACATCCTGATCAGGGAATTCTGGACTCCCTGTGTCCAGAACTGGTACTACTCCCTGGTAACTGGTACAAGTAGCTCATCAGACATTATGCCCTCCTTCCTGTCACTCTGTTTAATAATCATGGTTAGGTAGGTCATTGTGTGACGTGACAGTAAGTTTGGCCTGGTGTTACTTAACTTGCTGTCATCTCAGAGAAAATTGTACTGGTTGTATTTGTTTCAGGATCATTATTGAGGCAAATTGTTTATCCTTAAAGCTGTTGGTCTGTGTTTTGTACTATCCCCAAACTATAATTTACCAAGGCCAACTAAGGTCCCTGCAAATGGCTCCTACTTCTGAAAGTGATTAAAGCCTTCAAGGTTAAAGCATGCTAATTAAACAAGCACCTCAAAAACGTTAAGCAGCAACAATAATCTCACACTAGTAGCCATCTGAAACTGTGCATATAGAAAGGGAATCAAGAAGTGTTGATACTTTTACTGTTAACCAGAGGTTTGGTCTGAGAGAAACAACAAATCTCAGCTGCTTCATGAGATGAAGCAGCTACCTTCTGAAAAATCTACTCAAGTATTCTGGTATAATCATTTAATTTCAAGAGCTAAAATAGAGAGTATCAAGTAAAACCAGTATCGGTCTGTTAAACAAAACGACTCACAGGCCATTGTTCTTCCGTTGGAGTGCCCAGTGTTTCAAATATCCTTGTCAGCTGGTCAAGATCAGAGTCTCCAGGCAAAAAAGGAACCTGGAAAAAGTACATGGCATTTGATTGAATTAGCTTCTGAACTTCAATTTTAGAAAGAAGCTTTGAGTGATACTGCATAATTGCAAGGCAAAAGCCCCCTGTATACCACCTCCCCACAAAGAGGTACACTCAATATTTGAGGCATTCTATTTATGCTCAAATAGATTCTGAAAGTTTCCTGAACCTAGGCTTGGTATCCTTGACTTGACAGCAGACAGCTTAAACATAAGACTATGTTTAATCACAACCATATGAATGTAAAATTTACTAAACACAGAAAAGATCTTATATCTCAGTTGTCAGCCTAAAGTCAGTTGGTCATGGTGATCTTTTCACCACTTGTTCTCAGAAGGTAGCTTTTATATATATTTAAAGTGAATCACAAGTTTGCCTTATGAAATTAAATGAAAACATGAGGGAGAGTAGAGACCCACTAGGATGGAAAACTGTCTCTGATCAGTGTCACATGTCATTTAAATAAAGCAAAAAACTGAAAAGGGACTATCTGCCCAGTCCAACTTCTAGCTCGCATATCAGGCACACAATGTAAGGAAAAAGAAATTTGGTGACCAAAGCAAGTGTATGAAGAATTAGGGGCAGTGTTTAATTAATTAGGACAGAAAAACCATAATGGATATCCCTAGTAGACAGCATACTATATTGTGGCATCATTAAAACCCCTTGAATATAAACTGCTTTCATAAAAAGCTCTCAGAAGTTGCATTGTTCTGAAAAAGGACACATACATTTCAAAATATCAGTGATAAAAACTGAACCATAATACATTTTGTGTTTTGTGACAAAACAAAGAATCAACTGAATTCAAAAATTATTGGCTTACTAACTTTGCTTAAATGCATTCAGATTTAGCAGGTCTAATGCATATTTATGTATCCATCACCAGTGCTGCTTAAAGAGCCACTGTACATTTCCATATTTGACCTGCCAGTCAAATTCAACCAGCACACCTATTTGGTGTGACTAATCAAAGCAAAAGGTTTCTTTAAAAGTGTTTTCACACACAAGTCTGTTTATGATATGGCCACAAAAGCATTCAAAGGTGCAGAAACCAAGCAGAAGTCACTTAGTCATGGAAGATAAATTGTACTGCAGGCTACTTCATGCCTTCAGCTGTGTACCCCAGCCCTCCACTGCTCCCCTCACACTTTAATGTCTTCTCCAAAGAGCTGTAAAATAAACATTCCACTTCAGTGGAAAATACTCAAGGACCATTACATTTGTGTACCACACTGAGGACTGCCATAGGATTATCCTGATGTTAACCTTCACAGCTTCATTCCAGTATTGTAAACTAACTGCATTTTAGAAGAACATTATTCCTCCATTCATTTTCAATAAAACCACAATCAAGGTACTGGTGATTATAACTGAGGAACAGTGTATAAGGGACAGCCCAAGCACGTATATGCATGTGATGTTACATTCCTAGAACAGTAGTGAACTGAAATAGGTGATTGTGGACTGCAAGAGTTACCTACTTGACCTCTCCCAAGGCAAGACTGGGACAGTTTGTTGCAACTTTTTAACCCAGATGTTTAAAGACTTCCAGTGCTTGTGATGTTTATGAAGCCTCAGTCAATCCCAAAAGCCACTTTCATTACAATTAATAAGATTTTGGAAAATCTCTTCTGGCCTGTGTTCACCTGCTTTTAGCAGGGAAGAAAAAACCCATAGAGAGCCATAGTGAACAGAAGGACAAATACAAAATGCTTACATTTGAATACTTACTCTGAGGAGCAATTCAGCTAAAATACAACCAACAGCCCACATATCAACACCAACACCATACATTCTAGCCCCAAACAATAGTTCTGGGGCTCGGTACCACCTGAAAAGAAAACACATTTTGGAAGAATAACCTGGCTTTGCTCATGTCAAATGCTACATACTGTAGCAATGCAAAAGCTAAAAAAAGGATTTAACTTCTACCTATATACTTTTCAGACATTGAAGAGCTGTATTCTACAAACTATTTAAACTATTTTGTTTAAAAAAAAATGAATAAATTTGTGCACACCGCACCCTAGGGTATGTACAACCACAGATTAATTGCAGTTTCAACTGACGTGATTACAAGTATTGAAGAGCAGACACACAAGGAAGAAAATTCTTAACATGCAGGTAAACTGAAATTTTCTTAAAATTTTATGTTGAATGAAATCACAGCAAGACAGAATTCCTCCCATCTCCCAAGAATTTCCGTATCAACAGACCTAAGTACAGAGACTACTTTTATGTAAAATGAGCCTTGTTGTTTTGAAAAAACTAGTCACACTGCCTAAGAACAATCAAGTTCAATGAAATGACACTGCATTTGACATTGTAAAATTTCTCTTTTGAATAAAGGTGTTAAACCAGCTTTGCCTGAATAGCTTTAGCATGCCAGCAGTCAGAAAGCAAAATGTTGCGTATTTTGCAGCCCCACTTTTTATAGCATACCTTAAATAAGCATGCCAGAAAAACCATTTATAAATATTTAAATTGGTTCAAGTGTTTGTCTCAAAATAGGTAATGTGAATAGCTCCAAAAATGGTTCTAGGTTCTTGTGATTAGCAGAAAGTAGCAGCTGTCTTGCTCCAAAATCCAGGCTTCTAAGCAGATATGTACTATTTCCAGACATTTCAAAAGAGTATAATTTTGACAGATAACAAGAACCACCCCCACAGATGCATACTCAAGCAGCTCTTATGGAGACTTTGTTAAACAATGCTTCCTTGTGGTATTTTTATGCAGCTCTTGCCACATCACATGAGCAGATGCCACTCTGAATATGTTGATTTGACATATTTCAAGAAACACCTATAAAGCAACTAAACAATCTCTGTGTAAAAAACAAAATAGAGTGTCTTACCTTGTGACTACCTGGTGTGTATAAACTCTGTTTGGGCTTCCAAAAGATTTTGCCAAGCCAAAGTCAGCCAATTTTAAAACACCATTTTCATCTAGCAACAAGTTATTTGGTTTAAGATCCTGTCAGTATAGAAAACAAATAATGAGATTGGCCAGTATTGATAAAAACAGACATATAATGAATCTCCTGGCAGACATGTCATAACAGTGTTGTAAAATGAAAGATATGATTCTATCCTAAAACCTACCTTGTGAGCAAAAAAATTTAAACCCCCCAGTATTTCATCATATATGAAAACCATAGTGAGACAGGCCCATTTAATATTAACACATTTAACTTGCAGAGTTTAAAAAAGCCTCCTGATAGGTTTTACATTTTCTGCAAGTACAGCAGTTTTGTTATCTGCACAGCTGCCAAATGAATAATAAAAAGACTTGGCCAATGCTTCAAATAATGGCAGAAATCACAGAAATCACATCGTTCCATACAGTATATTGTGGGCCGACCTCAGGCCAAGAGAGGTAAATCCAACAGTACCCAACCCAAAAGTATCCACACAGCCATTTGCTCTTTTTATTCTCATCCCACCCACCACCCTCAGCAGTACAGAGGAGAGATCAAAAGCAGGAAAACTCTAGGAGCAGTATAAAGGCAGTTTAATAGGAAAGAACTAAAAATCAAAGCAAACAAGCAAGGTCATGGAAATCCTTCACCACCCCCACAAAGGAGAGTGATACATAGTCTCCAAACAGCAGCCAGCTTGGAAACCAAAATTCCTCCTTTTTCCTCCACCCCAGTTTTTACCACTGACCAAGGCATTATATGCCATGCGGACAACTTGGGTCAGCTGCCCCAGCTGTGTCTCCTCCTTACTTCTTGCCCCAAGCCTACTTATCAGGGCAAGGGCAGAGTGAGAAAAAGAGAAAGCCTTGACACTGCCTGATAGAAAGGAGAAAGCCTCAAGAGTTCAGCTGCTGTGAAAAAAAGTTCAATCCATCCCAGGCAGACCCAGTTCACAGAGATAATTAAAGTCACATCTAACTGGTGAACCTTTTATATAGGTATCAAAGTCATAACCACATCAGTAAATCTTAACATTTCTGGTACTGCTATTATGTCTCCAAAACAGCAAATATGAATGCTTATGGAATGAGACTGTCTAAATTCCAAAACTACCTTCATTAGTCTTTAGACTCTAAATTCACCCAATGTGATTTTTGTTGCAGGATGAGGACTGTCAATTTAGTACATGCTTACCCTGTGTAGAATCCAATGCTGATGCAAATATTCTAATCCTTGAAGTGTCATCAGCATATATGCCTTGATGTGAGACTGCGTCAACACAATACTTGTATCCTTTATAATAACCTGCAAAGTGTTGAAATCATGGTAAAGCTCAGCACACAAGACAACCTTATCTCCATTCTTTCAGCTCAAAAGTTATTTCCACCTTTAAGACAGGCTTCAGATTGGCAGTCATATATTCTCTACCATTTCAGCCTTTTTCCAGAAAAATAGGTCAATTCTGGAGATCAGAATTGAAATGGGGAGTCCAGATAGCTTATGTGAACTTTGCAAAACCCAACAACAAAAAAATGTGTGGGAAACAGAAGTTTAGCATTTAATCTCAGTTCCATGTTGATACCCAAACTTCAGGACAAAGATGTACACATACAAATGATAAAAGTGACAGTAAACTAGAAATTATGTTTCCACTTATTCCTTCTTTCTCTTTGAAATCTAAGTAACTAATCTTTGTAAATACAGTGGTTTCCTCTTCCTCTTCTATTTCCAAAAAGACCAGAGGGTATGGCAACTTGACTGTATTAAAAAAAAAAAAATCTACTTCAGTTTTCTACATTCTTTGATTTTTAACATTAAAATTCTATGCAAAGACCCCAAAGCTTGTTTATTAATACTACCGTCCTGATAAGTAATAGCCTTCCATAAGCTGAGTTACAGAAGAGCTAAGACTGCACAAATTTCATGTATGCAGCATATGCTTAATCACAACAGGCAGCAGTCTCAGTGGCAGCCTGAGTGATACCACAGTACAATTTAAAGACTGCACACATGTACATCACGCAGTTCAAGAGTATTTAATTTTTCTTTGTACACCAATCTTCTTCATCTCTAAACTTTGCATAACTACTATGTAAACAGAATGAATCCTCTAAAAGTCTACTCATTACTAACCTCTATTAGCAAAAATCTGATCTAACCTTTTCAAGACTTGCATTCATCTAAATTCAGCAAGCCTATCTCTAGAAGGCACCAATTTGCAATTACCTAGCATTGTTTCATTTGAAAACATGTTTAAAGTGCATGTGATTTTACTACCAACTTGTCTCTTCCTATATTTTGGTGTCACACTTATGTGAACATGTTTGGTGTTATGCTTATCAACTGCATTCCAGAAGCCATGATCCAGAGGTCTGACTGGAGTTCCAGAAAACTAACATAGTAAACACAATTTCTTCCTTTAAGATCATGCAGACAAGTATTTAGAAGGAATTAATCAAATGAGAACTCATAAAAACTGAAATTACTGAAGCTACTTTTAAGACGTGATCTTAATCAAGTGACATAATAAAAGTCACCTTTCAAATATGGGCAAATATAAGCCTGTTAAAGCAGCACTTTCATAAACCATCTTAAGATACTGAAATAAAAACTCTTTAAAAATCTTACCTCTAAATCTGTTTCCATAAAATCAAACACCAGACTAATATTCGACTTGTGTCCAAAAGCATCAATAAGCTGCAAAACAAAATACATTATGATTAAGCAGGCTCTGATTCTTCCAGTTTTCTGAAATTCATCACCACTGTAGTCTGCACGTGGATTTTCAGCTTATTGAGAATTTGCTTAAGTTCTTTGACTTGTAACACAAAAATTCTTACTCAGTTTAGCTTCTTAACTCAGTTTCCAAACTAGAAAAAAAATCCCATTAAATATGGCAATAACATTTCACATGATTGCCCTTCCTTCCTGGAGATAGGAAAAAAGAGCAAGAATTAACTTTATCATGTTAACTACAACAGATAATGTAATGCAAACCTTGTCTTCCAAACTTTCCTGTTCTAACTACCCTTTATTGAGACAAGACTAAGTTTGCCCATGGATTCAGCTTTGTGTATCTCCTTCCTGTAAGCACACAGTATTTAGAAATTTTAAGTGTTAGGCTTAGAAACTTCAGACATTTTTACATGTGTATTCATTTTTGTAGCTAGCTTTCCAAGGTAACTAAAACTCTTTTCAGGACATCCAAACAGCCCTTTCTTAGGATGAAGCTGTGTAATGATACGATCAATTTCTAATTTGAGATAACACAAGCATGATACTGAGCAAAAGCAAGAGATCATTTAGCCTGGTGCTCTTCCTTCAAGATGAGGAAGGTATGTGTGCAACTGGTGCAGCTCATTCCTCAGTCTCAGTGTGGTAACCACACAAATTGGCAAATTGCACAGTATTTGTTTGAATAGTTCAGAATAGCAGTGACTGTGCCCCTTACACTCCTAAAACCCACAAAAGTTTTGTAGGGACTACTAAGAGGGGCACAACACCATCTCTTGTTTTTAGAACTTGCTTCTGGAACTCCTGATCATAAATTTGTCTAACTCTTTTTTGAACTGTTGATGCAGTTTGCTTCTACACGGCCCATGGCAACACATCCTATGAATTCATTACACACTGAGTGAAGTGGTACCATCTCCACTCCTGCTGCCAATAGGTTTTAAATACATCTCTTATTTCTAGGACGATGGTGTTTGGAAATATAATTCCTGCATGGACACCACCTATCACCTTGGTTTTGCAGACCTCCCCATTACCAGCTTTTCCCTCTCCAAAGTGATGAATTCCTCATTTTTTCATAAAGAATATGCTCCATCCCTCTGCCATTTTAGTTGTCACCCCCGGCATATTCTCTATCCTTGACAGCTAAAGCCACCACTTTGAAAGTAGGGTCACAATCCAGAGGAGAACCATATTTCCACTTTGAAAAGTATATGGAAAATTCATATTTCATGTACTTAATCATACTGACACTTTCTAATTATCACTATGATCTAACTTTATAGTGTCTTTACCTCCAGTTGGGTATCTGTAGGTGTAAGTATACCAAAATGTAACTGAAACTAAAAAGATACCAGTCTTACTCCTTCCAAAAGAGATTTTAAACATCATATCTATGTGCTGAAATAAGCCTGCTATTTTATACATGCTAATAAGCCACATGACTTCCCCATTACCATTGCTTTAAAAAGCCTGCTTTTTGACTGTCACCAGTTTCATATGAAGCAATCAATCAAGTAAATTCAGCGCTGTGTTCATTAGTAATTCTATCAGAGATGCAAAACCAAGCAATCTACATTTTCACAATTGTTCCACCATTAGCATCTATGTAGGCCCAGGCAAAAAACTGAAAGGATTTAAAAAAAAACCACCTTTGCCTTTGTTACTGAAATAGGCACATAATAATTGACATAATAATTGTTGAATTACTGAAAGTATTTGTAGACTGATTCTAGAACTAGCATTTATTTTACTTACACCAATAATATTTGGATGGCTTAGCTCCTGTAACAGTTTTATCTCCCTGAGGGCAGTCCTGTTGATTCCTACATTGATGGAAAGAAGAAAAGAAGATGAAAGAACAAAATAAAAACTCTGGATTAAGCTCCAAATAGACCTGTTGTTCTGCTACTCACAGACTATTTACTACTACAAATTACATTCTTAACACTAGTCAATTTGCTAAGTAACACTGACATTGCGAAAACTAACTAAATTGCTGCAAAATAAAAATGGGCATACGCTTTCTTCCATGGCAAGTCCATTTCACACCATAGTAATCAGGCTTAGATTATGAAGCAACACATCTACATTTTGGCAAAAAGGGAAAGTTGTAGGAAAAAAAAAATCACCTTTTTCAGGGTATTGGAAGACTTCCTTTAATTCTAAAGAAAAGTTTCATTTTGCAATCAGTCCCTCAACACGTCTCACTTCCAGAGGGAGGCATACCGTCAACACTCATTAATAAACCTCTTTTCTTTTTGACATATCATTATCTAATAATGCAAGGCACATTGCATTAAAATGTAAAAAACACAGAATGTTTTTCTACATTCATGCTGTAGCATATATAAGGCATAAAAGAGAGAGTGACCAAAACCTGATTACTCTTGCTTGAATCTTCTCATAAGCAGATTTGATTGAGTTAAAATCAGGGTCCAACAGGGAGCAAATGGTGCCCTTCAGCAGTCACACTGATGGCACTGTATCAAACCATGGTTCCTGCAGGGTACCAATTCCTCCTTCAAAAATGCTAGAATGTGTGGCTTGTATGAAAACTGGCAAGCAAATACTCCTGTGGTGTATCATGCAGGAAGTTGCAGCTGCACATGAGCTGAAAACCAGTGCTCTTCTAAAACCTGTCATATGATTCAATGGTAAGACTAGCAAAGTTTTGGGTCAAGCTACATGGATTACTTTACATTCCTGCTTTGCCTGTTTTAATTACATGTTTTGGAATCAAATTAACAAACGCTGCTTTTGGGTAGGCACAGTCTTAGATGAAAACAAAAAAGCATGCCATGTTATCAGATAACACAGGGAAAGCAGATATGATCATTATTTTGAATAACATCTTTCATCTACAGCTAGACACTGTAGAGGCCAAAAGTAATGACTGTCCCTAAGGGCCATTAGGCCACTGAGGGCCAAGTGGATCACAACTCTCAGGTAGCTGGCCAAATTGTGAGACTCTGGGATGAGTGATCAGTTTCTCTTTAAAAGAAAAGAACTGGAGAGTTGATAGCGAAGACTCTTCACTGGAAAGCTGGTAACCTGATGAAAGAGTCCTGAAGGACAGCAGCCTGCACACAAATAAAATTCTGCACCTCGCAGGCAATAAGACCAAGATTACTTAGTTTCAATTTGCCATAGCCACACCTACAGGCACAGGGCTGGTCAGAGCTTCATAGGGCTGAACATGAAAAAAACAGGACACAGAGACAAGAGTTTTGATCTTGTTTTTATCCACTTTTGCCTCTGAACATATCACAAAAATAGAACAAAGGAAACATCCGAAAACACACAAAAACTCTCACTCATCTTAAATACTTAAGGAACAGAGATGTATTGATACAAAAAGGTATTTTAAACTCAGTGCTGTTGTTATTATTACTAATATTCTATGCTATATTCATGTTTGAATTCCATTAAAATTGAGAAGTTATATACTCATATTTAAACATATACCATGCATGCAGGTGTCTAGGCGGTTTTTGGTTGTCCCTGCAGCTTGTGAAGCAAACCTCTACTAAACCTTACTGAGTTCAATTTTCTCAGCCAATGGTATGGGAAATTAATGTATCAATTCAGAAAAACAAAGCAAACAAAGCACAGCTTCTACAGTATGAATTGGTTTTAAAACTCACCATCTTTAGCTTCTGATCTATGCCCCAGTTTAATCTGAAAATAAATATTTCATGTTAAGCAAGATTAAGATGGTGGGGAATACATTTTTTTAATGTTGCTCCTCTAAGACAGAATTAGTTTTAGAGTAACGAAGCACTTTACAGCTGGGTTAGTTTTAACTGGAGTTTATTTCCCCTTTAAAAAATAACTGTTTCTACAGCATTTGTTTTTACAAAAAATAGCAAATGAGGGCACTAAAAACATAATGCAAGTATAAACTACTTTGTAGCCACAAAGATTTATTGCATCACTAAATGAGCTTCTCCTTAGGGAGAAATGAGAGCTAAGTAATTGACAGTTATCTTAGAGTGATTCTAGTAAAATTAGCATAGGCTGTAAACTCAGGCAGACTCTAGGTCCTTTTGTCTCAATCATCTAATGACTTGAAATTTTAAGTTCAGAATCCTACCATTGATATTTCCAGATTATAAAAGAAAATATTCTGATAAAACAAAGAATACTCTCCACCACAGCCTCTACCAGCAGCAACCATATAAGACAAATATTGAAATGCTAAAGGAATTAGTGCATTAAACAAGATTGCTTACTATTGACACAATTCAACCTGTTGAGTCTTCAAATAAAGAAACCACTGTAACATGCATTTTTCATCCCTTACAAAGAACAGCTGAAGACCCATTTTTAATATAAAAACTTCCTGCAATTCCTTCAGATAGTAACAAGTGAAACGCTTTATGACAATGTAAGCATTTTCATCATTGGTATGAAAACAAGCATGTTGGAGAGCCAAGATCATTTTTGTCATATTTAATCAAAAAACAATCATACTGGATAAGGGACATAACTGGAAAACTCTGAAGTCTAGTAAGGCCCTCTGACTACTATTCATTATTGTTTGTTGAAGTTGGCAGCAACACAGTAAAAAATAAAGGACTGAGGGTACTCAAAAGAGACTTGAGGGCCCCAGGACAATTAATAAAAGGATATGGAGCACAGATAGTGATCCTTCTGGTATCAAGAAATAATACTGATAGGAATAGGAAGATCCATCGGGTTTGCCATGTGGCTCTGAGGTTGGTGTCACAAGAAAAACTTTGGGTTCTTTGACAGTTGAACTTTTGAACACCTGTTCTACTGACACTTGATGGGTTGCACCTTTCTCAGAGTGGAAAAAGCTCTGGTACAGAAGCTAGCAGGGCTCATTGGCAGAGCTTTACACTGGCTTGGAAGGGAGAAAAGGAAAATACCCGGCTCACCAGTGATAATCAGTGGGACAGTGTGTCAAAACTTGAGGAAATGAACACTAATGGGCTACCTCGATCTGCTTCATGAGGTGTTGGCTACAAAGTACAACACCTGAAATGTTTCTCTATCAATACATGAGGAGCAAACAAGAGGAGCTCAAAGCTTTGATTCAGTCCCACAGATTTGATATCATTGACTTAAATGAAACCTGGTGGGATCAGTCCTGAGACTGGAGTGCCCTGTTGGGCAGCTGCAGGCTCTTCAGGAGACGCACACAGGACAAAAGAGGCAGGGGGGTGGCATCATATGTAATGGAAGGGCTGGAATGTACCAAGCTTACAGCTGGCAATGGTGCAGTTGAGAGCCTCTGCGTAGGAAACAAGGGACAAATAATGTGGATGTCATTGTGGGAGTTTGCTACACACCTCCCAGCCAGGATGATGAAGCTGATGGATTATGCTTTGAGGAACTAAGGGATGCTTCCAAATCAACTGCCCTTGCTCTTATGGGGGACTTCAACTTGCCAGAAAGCAACTGGAAGCATCACACAACAGGTACAGCCTGGGACAGAAGATTCCTGAAAACCTGGACAACTTTGTGGAAAAGGTCCTACGGGAGCCAACTCAAAAAGATGCCTTCTTGGATCTGCTGCTTGTCAACAGAGAGAATCTCATGAGCAAAGTGGAAACTGAGGCCATCCTGGCCACAGCAATCATGAAGCCATTGAGTTTAAAATCTCTGTTAACAGTAGGAAAGTGCCAGCAAAACTTCAACCCTGGACGTGAGGAGAGCAGACTTCAGGCTACTCAGGGAATTGGTAAGTAAAGTCCCCTGGAAAAACATTTTTGCAGGTGCTGGGTCCATCAGTGCTGGCTACTTTTTAAGCATCACCTCCTAAGGGCACTGGAGCATGTAATTCCCAAATGTCACGAGTCAAGCAGATGAGGCAGAAGGACAACTTTGCTGAACAGGGATGTCCTCTTGAATATAAGGTAAAGAAGGAAGGCATATGCTCAATGGAAGTAGGGTCAGGTGACATGGAAAGAATATAGAGAGGCTGCTTCACACTTATTATTAGAAAGGGAATCAACATGTGATGATGGCCAACCTCAACGGACAAAGCTGCAAGAAACAAGGCTCTGCTAATTCAATTATTCAGGAAACATTTGTCTAAAAATTACAAGACTTGAGGTAACAGCGCAAAGCTGATTCAGGGGAGTTTAGGATGGATACTAGGATAAGATTCCTCATCCAGAGGGGCTGGGCACTGGAACAGGCCTCCCAGGGAAGCAGCCATGGCACCAAGTGGTGTTTGGACAACTGCCTCAGGCACATGGTGTGATTCTTGCATTGTACCGCACAGCGATGAGAGCTCGACTTGATGATGTTGATGGGTCCCTTCCAACTCAGCAAGTTCTATGATTCTATAAATTTTAAGGAACTTAATAAAGGATAACATTCTGGAATGAAGGAAATTGGACACTGCCACAGAAACGATTTAAAATAAAACAAAAAAACCCCAACTATCAAGGTACAGTAAAGTCTGCAGTTTAGTAATGTGTGTGTGTTGGTTTGTTTGTTTGTTGAATAAACCTAACAAATAACTAGAAATTCAATTCACAGACCATGCAACCCTTCAGAAACTCAGAAACACAGCAAAGACACTCCCTCTTCTGGGGTGGGTGGGCATTACAGACAGGTTAACCAGATCATTTAAGCAAACTTCTCTATAAATAAAAATGCGTATCATGCCATTTCCCATCAAGTTGGTTAAAAAACCAAAAGTCGTTAGGTAGGTCAAGAGTAACCAGACACTTTGTGACACGCTGAGAAGACATTCTGACACGTACCTTCTTAATAGCAACGATTCGGTTATTCGTCTTGTCCTTGGCTTTAAAAACGGTGGCGAACTGGGGACAGAGAGAGATGCTGCCGTGAGCAAGGCCTGACAGACTGCGCGAGGAGAGGCCGCCGAGCCCTCCTCGGGCCCGGGGTGGGCACCGCCCCGCGCCCCCCGCGTCTCCCTCCCGCCGCGGGCGGGTAGCGACACAGGCCGGGCCCAGCTGGGCTGCCGCAGCCCCAGGGCCGAGGGCGGCCCCCGCCGCGGTCGCTCACCTGCCCCTCCCCAAGGAAGTCGAGCTTCTCGTAGCGCTTGGCGCGGGCCCGCGCATCCATGGCCGGCGCGCTGTGCGGCGGGATGTGCGGCGGGAGCGGCGGCGGGGATGCCCGGAGCGGCGGCGCTGCTCGGCTCTTTAACCCCGCGGCCCCGCCGCTTCCGGCCCCGGCCCGGCCCGGCCCCTGCGCGCGCAGCGGCCCTCGGCGAGGCGCAGGCGCCGTTCCCTGACGGATCGGCCCCGGTTCGGGTGTGCGGCGGAGTCCGGGCTGAGGCTGTGTGCTGCAGCGGGCAGCAGTTCGTCCCAGAAGCTGCTTCTGTTTTCACCCTGATCTCACGTCTGACATTCAGGGACATTTCTGTAATTTCTGTGCTTAGAGAGATAGTTTTTTAATTAAAAAAATTATTATTCTATAGAAAGGGTGCTCTCAGGCACTTTGTTAGCTTCTAGTGGAAATTCTTAACTGTACTTCTATAGTTTCTTCATTATGAATAATTACCTACAATATAGTACTTAAAACTACCGTCAATACCATCAATACTACTACTGTAAGAGTAGTACAGTATTTCTCATACAGGAGAAATTCTCACTTGAAAATTAATTTCCCTACATGCCCAAGCTTTGCTATTGTTTACTAGATTAGTCTGTAAGACCAACAAAGTTGTGTAACTATGAAGAATAGCCAACATGTCTGAGAGCACTTCAGCGTCTTTTTTCCTGCCTGTAAAATCATTCTCAGTGACACATCCAGGTGAAACAGTCTTAACCTCAATCCCTGGAAAAGTGGTGGTGTGCCTCATCCTGGAGGCCATCTCTCCCTATGTGGATGACAAGAAGGTGATCAGGAATACCAACACAGCTTCACTAGAAGTAAATCTTGACCAACCTGATTGCCTTCTACAAGGAAATAACTACCTGCATGGGTAAGGGGAGGGGAGTGAATATTGACTACTTGATGTCAGTAGGGATTTCAACGCTGTCTATTAACATCCTCATAGACAAACTCAGGAATGCGGGCTGGATGAGTGGACAGTGAGGTGGATCAAGGACTGGCTGAACAACAGATTCAGAGGGTTACAATCAGTGTCACTGGGTCTAGTTGGAGGCCTGTCCCTAGTGGTGTCCCTCTAGTGTCACCCCTAGTGGTGTTCAATGCTGTACTGTTCAATTTATTCATCCATGACTTGGATGAAGGGGCAGATGCCTCCTCAGCAAAGGACACAAAGCTGGGCAGAGTGGCTGATACCCTGGAGTGCTGTGCAGCCCTTCAGAAGGACATCAGCAGGTTGGAAAGATGGACAAAGAACCATCTGAAATTCAGCAAGGGCAAGTGCAGGGTCCTGCACCTGGGGAGGAACAGCCCCAGGCACCAGCACAGGCTGGGGCTGCTCTGCTGGGGAGCAGCTCTGTGGAGAAGGACCGGGGGGTCCTGGTGGACAAGAAGCTTCCATGAGCCAGAGTGTGTCCTGGTGGCCAAGAAGGCCAATGGTATCCTGGGGGCCATTGGGAAGAGCATTGCCAGCAGGTGGAGGGAGGTGATCCTGCCCCTGTACTCAGCCCTGGTGAGGCCTCACCTGGAGTGCTGTGTCCAGTTCTGGGCTCCTCAGGACAACAGAGACATGGAGCTCCTGGAGTGGGTCCAGCAAAGGGCAAAAAATTTTATTAGGGGGCTGGAGCATCTCTCTTGTGAGGAAAGACAGGGAGAGCTGGGGCTGTTCAGCCTCAAAGAAATAGAACTGAGAGGAGACCTCATCAATGTTTATCAGTACTTGAAGGGAAATTGCCAAGATGGACCAGGCTCTTCCTAGTGGTGCCAAGCAGTAGAGCAAGAGGCAATGGGCAGAAACTGGAAGTTCCGCCTGGACATGAGGAAGAACTTCTTTACTGTGCAGATGACCATGCACTGGAACAGATTGCTCAGAGAGGGTGTGGAGTCTCTCCCTCACTGGAAATATTCAAGCACCTTCTGGACACAATCCTGTGCCATGTGCTCTGGGATGACCCTGCTTAAGCAGGAAGGTCAATAAAAATGACCCACTGCAGTTCCTTCCAACCTGATCCATTCTGTGACTTTGTGATCTCAACCAGTGGAAAAATAAAATGACTCTGTTAGATTGTTGACTTTTCAAATGGCTAATTAGAAAAATATTTTAATGGTGCAGACATCATATATATTCAATTGCTATTAGCCATCAACATAAAATCCTTCTCAGTCACAAACAAATCAGTATCTTGTGTGTTGTGTCAATCTTCTCAACCATCATATGGGATTTTATTAAAGCTATTAGTATACAATAATTTTTATTATTAAGGCATTTTAATTTAACGCCTTTATTGTGAATATAATACCTCATTCTTCAACAGTAGCCAAGAAACTATCTTTACATTTATTCTGGACCTCCACGCTGTAAAAGAAAAGCATACAGTTAAATATATTCCACTAATAGAACTTAAAACTGAGATCAAATTATCTTTTACACTGTGATAGACTAAGAGACACAGTTCTAGTTTTAATTTCTGATTTAAATATTGACCTATATAAGAACAGATAGCGTGGATATCAGCATCCACCAGTCATGGCTACATTTTTTTCAAGGGACAGTACAAAAAAATCAACACCTGCTACCTACAGTTACAGCTGCTTCCATGGCTCTTTCTCTGAAGAAACCTGACTCTTAAGCTGCAAAAGGTCTGACAAACACAATTCTAACAGACACAAGTTTTAAAATAACTTTCACTGCCTACATTCTGAAGTGCAAAGTAAAAACAAAGCCAAGCAGAGTCATTACAATCTTAATAAGAAATCAGAAAGGCATTCAGTTAATTATTTTCCCAACAAAATTATTTTACAACTTACCTCACTGCTAAACAAACATGCAAAAAGTCAAAAAGTGTATTACTGTGGGAAATAACTGATTTTACTTCTACTGTATAGATGCAGCCTACTTGCATACATGAAGATTTCTAGATTTCCTCTACTAACATGGCTATGCTATTTATGTCCTTACCGTTTAACAAAACTTTGCAAGCATCTTTTAATTTCAAACTCACCATCACCTCACAAATTCTTCAAATTTTGTGCATTCTCCCTTTTCAACCATCAGTTTTTACAACTGAGAATTGTTGCAGAATAGAAGCAGGTTTTTCTTGCCTTTTATGTACAATGCCATATTTACAAGTATTGCAGAAAATACTTGTATCAAGTTTAATAAAATGTTTCCACTACTAGAAATACAAGAGTTAATTTACTAATAAATAACTTATAAAACTAATTTGAGAAATATTTTGTACTTTGATCACCTGGTAATAGCCTTTTAGGGTCTAAGAACTTCTGTGATCCTGCTCAGCAAAGTCAAATTACACATTAAACAGCTGTTATAAAACAGGCAGTGGAGCTAATTAATGCAGGCTATGACTATCAACAGCTTACCTGCATATCTGTTCTAAGTCCAAATCTCTCTACTCAGTGGTACCACAAGCTACTATGCAGTGAGATTTGGTACCTTCTGTATTAAGAATTGGTACATTGGGTACTGCATATGAAAACCATGGAAGCCCAGGGCACACTCTTATAAAGAATTACTATGTAATATCATACCAGAAGATGTAAAAATTAAAGAAGAAAACTTACTTGAATATACTCAATCTCTTCATCTGACATTTGTTTCCTTCTGTATTTCTGAGGTAAACTTCTTGTTAATTCAGAAGTGTCTGGTGTGCCTTGTACTCTACTAACAGGTGAAATATTTTGAAAGGCCGATGATGTGCCTCCTACAGATTCCTGTGCTTTTGAAGCAAGGAGAGATGGCATACTTGCTTGTAGAGACTCCTGTACTGAAACCCAGATTTCAAAACAATTTACAGAAATATTACTAGACTGTAAAATTAATAAGCAGCCAATAAAATGTACCATTGCCTGAAAATCTTATTCACTACAACAAACACCTAAAAGAATTATATCACTCTACTTCTCACAACCTGTTTTTATTGTTGTTAAATGTATTAAGTGCAGACTCTAAAAATGCTGACAGTAGTATGAATGGCAGAAGCGCTGATGTGGAAACAGAAGATTTATCAACATACACCCTAACAATGGCTTTTCACTGGGAAGCTGTACTTGGAGAAAAAGCATGAAGTTATGTAAATGTTTGCGTGTGGGCAATTATGTAGAAGATAACTGAGATGATGCTTTTCATTTACTGCAACTGAAAAGATAGACAAGTGAAAAAGATCTAGAGGCTTACAGAAAGATAAAGCTCGCAGCCACAACAGGCCGCAACATGCAATGCAGTGCTGCACCCATTTTTAATATTACAAAATGGCATCACATTTTGTTAATGATGTGCAGAATGACCACCAAGTATCAGGCATCAGCAATCAATGTTAATGAAATGTAAAGACCAAGGAGTGCATGAAGTTCTTCACAGGTGAGGATCAGGAGCTAAGCTTCAGGAATTCATATCAGAAAAGTTGCCTTGATTGTGCAGATAGAAGAGATGACAAAAGGGCAACGTCATAGTCAGTGTTCCAAACCTTAGGTCTGTCCCACCATAGCTGATTTTACAATGGAAATATGCAATTGCCCTGCTAGGCAGGACAGAGATCATAGCAATATGTTCATTTCAGGACTCAGTCCTATATATGGGATAGGATCCATCCCAGGTGATGAGGGAGCTGGCAGATGAGCTTGCAAAGCTGCTCTCCATCATTTACCAGCAGTCCTGGCTCACTGGTGAGGTTCCAGAGGACTGGAAGCTGGCTGGTGTGATGCCCATTCTTAAAAAGGGTGAATGAGGAAGGAGGATCCTGTTAATTATAGGCCGGTCAGCCTGACCTCTGTACCAGGTAAGGTTATGGAGCAGTTTATACTGAGTGTCAGCACACAGCACTCACAGGATGGCCAGAGTGTCAGACCCAGCCAGCATGGGTTTAGGAAGGGTAGGTCCTGTTTGACCAACCTGAACTCCTTTTATGACCAGGTGATCTGCCTGGTGGATGCAGGAAAGGCTGTGGATGTTGTGTACCTGGACTTCAGCAAGGCCTTGGCACTGTCTCCCACAGCACACTCCTGGAAAAGCTGCAGCCCACGGCTTGGACAGGAGCACTCTGTGCTGGGTTAGGAACTGGCTGGATGGCCGGGCCCAGAGGGTGGTGGTGAATGGTGCTGCATCCAGCTGGGGGCTGCTCACTGGGGTGTCCCTCAGGGGTCTGTGCTGGGGCCAGTCCTCTTCAATATTTTTATTGATGACATGGATGAGGGGATTGAGGCTTTCAGTAGTGAATTTGCAAATGACACTGAGCTGGGATCGTGTGTCGATCTGTTGGAAGGTGGGAGGGCTCTGCAGAGAGACCTGGAATGATTGAATGGATGGGCAGAGTCCAACAGGATGAGGTTTTAACAAGTCCAAATGCTGAGTCCTGCATTTTGGCCACAATAACCCCCAGTAAGGTTACAGGCTGGGGATGGTGTGGCTGGACAGTGCCCAGGCAGAAAGGGACCTGGGGGTACTGCTCAACAGCCGGCTGAACGTGAGCCAGCAGTGTGCCCTGGTGGCCATACAGGCCAGTGGCATCCTGGCCTGTGTCAGGAACAGTGTGGCCAGCAGGAGCAGGGAGGTCACCCTTCCCTGTACTCAGCACTGGTGAGGCAGCACCCTGAGTGCTGTGTCCAGTTCTGGCCCCTCAGTTTGGGAAGGACCTTGAGACACCTGAGCAGGTCCAGAGGAAGCAACGAGGCTGGTGAGGGGCTTGGAACACAAACCCTGTGAGGAACGACTGAAGGAGCTGAGGGTGTTTAGCCTGGAGAAAAGGAGACTCAGGGGTGACCTTATCACTCTCTGCAACTCCCTGAAAGGTGGTTGCAGTCAGTGGGGTTGGTCTCTTTGTCCAGGCAAAATCTGACAGAATCAGAGAACACAGTCTTAAGCTGCATCAAGAGAAATACAGGTTGGATATCAGGAAAAAGTTTTTCATGTAAGGACTGATAAAGTACTGGAGTGGTCTGCCTGGGGAGGTGGTGCAGTCACCATCCCTGGATGTGTTGAAGAAAAGACTGGATGTGGCACTCGGTGCCATGGTTTAGCTGAGGTGTCAGGGCATGGGTTGGACTCGATGATCTTGGAGTTCTCTTCCAACCTTCTAGTCATTCTGTGATACAAGACCTGACAAAGCTGAATGCTTCCACAGAAGTCCTTCCCAATGCTCCAGAAAATTGAGCAAGACAAGTGCAACATCTAACAGCTGGACAGAAGCTCTATATAACTATAAAATAAGCAGCATGAAAATGGCATGTACAAAAGCATGTGAGCAGCTACAACAGCACAGTTTTCCCTGCCTTTGCCCTTCCTGGCTCGAGCAAGACCAATGACCACAAAGGAGAGAGAGCCAGTTTTAGCCTTAATGAGTCTGCTGCAGTTGCAGGATTGGGACAAACAATCAAACATCTGCAGCACTGTGATGAAACTACCATTGAGAGGCATTAAGAAGCTGTCAGTCATAAGACTGGGTCTGAAAGTCCCAAGGTGTCAGAAATAATGGAAGATCCCAAATAGAGCGAGGCAGAAGTGAGCCCATCAGAAACAGCATATTTATTGTGAACAGAGGGCAAAGTATTTTCGTTACAAAAAATAATACACCTTACATAAAAAAAAAAAAAAAAAAAGAGAAAGAAAAGAGGGGGAAAAGGCAAGAAAAAAAGAAAAAAAAAAAAGCAGTTTCTCCAAGTTTGTTTCACTGACCACAAAAGTCTAGAGATTTGTCAAGGATTTTCCTCTACTGAATGTTTCAGTCTGAAGTGTAGTTGGAGTAGACTCATTAGTCAATTAAAAACATGAGAACTGCAGTAATTAATCAGAAATTTTACTGTAATAGAACTGCTTTATTTCTATTACAGTGTCTACTACATCTCTCCCTTCCCTGTTTGAGACCATAATGTTGCAGCATTAATAGGCCCACCGGAATTTGGCTGGCCTTTCACATCCCTAGTTGCTCTGAGGAGCCATTAAGCGATGTAGGAGCAACAATCTGGTACAATTAAATGCAGATTTTGCTACAGCATTCAAGCAAGACAAAGTAGGTTGCAGTTTACTAACAAGATGACAGATCCTGATGAAGGTAGAAAAGTCTAACATACTTAAAAGATACAGTCACAAGAATCTTCTGACACAGAGATAAACAAGAGGTCAGAAACACATTTTCAAGCTTTTGAGAAAGTAGTTCACTGGCATGAGAGGTGGTGCATTTGGCTGAACTGTGCAAAATGTGCAGAATTTTTACAGAAAGTTATTGTAGAAAATAGTTCCTGAAGAGTTCACAGACAAGTCAGAAGAGGCATTTATATGCACTGTGGAGGCTTTCAAATGTTAAACTAAACTTAAAGCTAAACTGTGGGCTTGATAATCCTGTGAGAAATAACTAGGCATAGTATAATATCAAAAGAAGTGAGAATAATGTAACAGAGCTTTTAAAGACAACTTCTACTTTTCTTTCAGATGCTATTTGACCCAAAAGGACTTCTAAATCAACATATTGCTTATCTAAATTTGTTGTTTAAATATAATAGTATTAGGAATACGATAAATATCAACACAGGTATAAAAGTTAATGTCAAAGATTGCAATGAAATATTTTTTTTCCCTTAGCATTAGTTAGTAACACAAGAAAATACTTCTTAAAATGTACAGAGGGCTGGATCTCTCAGCTATAATCATGTTATGAAAAAACAGCAGAAATACATCACACACTTCAACTAAGAAAAAATGAGGAAAATGCACCATCATTTATGCAAATATCACTGAGTAACTAAAGCTGCTTCAAACTGACTTGGGCACAGTAAGTTCAGTAAATATTAATATTTGGGAAAATGTGACTTTATATAAAATAGAACACAAACACTGGAAATCCTTGTGAATTTTTCTTGACAAAAAAATATAGATTGGCATGCATTATGTGTCTACACACAGCTGCACAGAAAAGAAGTTGTGGAGAAAGTTCAAGAGTTTCCTTCAAACTAAACCAAGCATGTTTCAAAAACCTCACTCCAACTCAGTTCAGCTGTATAGCTGAAAGAGAGAAATTGGGTCCCGGTTCTTAAATAGAACAGTCCATGTAAAGAAATGTGGCGCAAGCTGTATCCATACCCAAAATACTTACTTTTAGGTCTGGGACCACTTTTTCTGTCTGGGAACTTTATTAATGGAGTGTGTGGCTTGACTACCTAGAAAGAGACCAGGTAGTGGGAGAAACAGACACAGGTTACCGTGAATAATAAAATGTATCAACCAACCACTCTAAACAGCGGCTCTCTGCACCACTACTCTGATACACTTACTGGTTCTTGAAGTCCTAAGTTTACCCCAGGAAGAAGTCTACTTTAAAAAGTAGTCCTGCACCCTGAGGTCCAGAGCAGGTACAGGCTTTGTCTTCGTTTTCTTATCAGTCTGTGTGTGCAGAAACAGCTACTGCTATTGCATAAATGCAATCACAATGCAATCTCCTCTGGTGAGAACCCACCCACCCAGAGAGTACTGTGTCCAGCTCTGGGGTCCCCAAAGCAAAAAAAATAAAACAAAAAAACATGGTCTGGAGTGAGTCCAGAGCAGGGCCGTTAAGATCTTCAGAGGGCTGAAGCACCTCTCCTGTGAGGACAGGCTGAGAGCTGGGGTTGTTCAGCCTGAAGAATGCACTGGGGAGACCTTACAACCCAAAGGGCAGGTTTGGATTAAAAAGATTAGGAAGATTAGGAAGAAATTCTTTATTTTGAGGGTGCTGAAGCACTGGCACAAGATATCCACAGCATCTGTGGCTGTCCCATCCCTGGAAGTGCCTAAGACCAGGTTGGACAGATCGCTGAGCAACCTGGTCTAATAAAGGTGTCCCTGCCCACGGCGGGGGGGTGCTGCAACTAGGTGACCTTTAAGGTCCCTTCCGATCCAAACCATGCCGTGGTTCCACAGTGCTTTAGCACACGGATTTGCGAGCTGTGCTCTGCCTGTACAAAGCACTTTCACCTTGCGGAGGCCCATCTTAGGAAGGAGCTGCCAGCCAGCTCCGCACCCGCTGCTGTCACAGCGTCCGGCACCTGCGACACCGTGTGCGCGCGGCTGCACAGCTCTCCCCAAGGACATCGGCCGCCCCGGCGGCGTCTCCTCAAGCTGCGGCCGCCTCGACCTGCTGCTCGGCGGCGGCAGCAGAACCGAGCCCCGCCGCCCGAGCCAGGATTCCGGCTGTCTCAGACACGCCGTCCCGGGGCCGCCCTTACCTGCACCGCCCTGGTAGCGGCCGCCATCTTGCTGCCCATGGTGAGGAGCCTGAGGGGCAGCTCGGGGCCCCGCCCACAGCTACCAACACCGGCATGGGCGGGGCCTGTCTGTGGGCGGGGCCTGTCTGTGGGCGGGGCCGCAGCGGAGGCCAGGCATGCCAAAGCAGCCGCTTTACCGTGAGTTAAAAAAAACTCCAAACCAAGCAAAACATTTTCAGGAAAATCAGCGTTTTATTTTTATTATTAGATCAAGGCATCCACCTACAAAAAATAGCTGGTGATCACTCACCAAGTTAAAAGTGAAGCTACACACCAAGATAACAAGGGACACTACACGTTCCCAAACTGTCCTACACTCCAGGAGTCAATTTCCTTCAAACATCAAACAAAGACCAAGTAAAAAAAGCGCAAATGCTAGTGAAGACATACAATTAAAACATTGCTTAGCTGCACAGTCGACATGTATGAAGTCACCTCTGCAGACAAGAGTCAGTGCTAACAGGAGCAAAAATTTCTGGTGTTTACAATTATACATATTGCCTTAAAACCAAAAATAATCCCTACTCCAGACTTGCTAATAAATTTTCCTGACTGAGCTTTTGACTGGGATTGAGCAGGACTGTGCACCCTGCTTGAGCTCTATGGCTGCTGGTCTCCAGGGAAGGGGTACAGCAAATCCTTAGTTTAAGTCCACTTCTACATGAAACCTTGAAACTTTTCGTGTGTTCTTGCTGCCTCTCAGAGGAAAATAAGTGCTTGAGACAAGACAGCTTGAGAAATGAGTCTTCAGGTAGTTTCATTTCATCCGCTCTACTACCCGCTTTGACACATTCTATTTCTCTGGAGAGAACAACATCTTCCAGAAAGGTCAAATTTTAAAATTTAACATACATATAATTTATCAAGTTTAGTTAAAATGCACACAATGTATAAAATAAGCACAACATCTCCTGACTCACTGAAAATGCACATTTTTTTCAAGCTGTAGAACAATTGCTTTTAAAGATGGATCTTCTGCCCAGTTAACTCTGCTTCCAATTATGACGTTCTGTAAATGAGGAAGATTTACAGGTTAAAACAAACCCTTGAAAAGGACAATTCCTAGTAAAATATCTTAAAGAAAGTCTGCTTTATAATTTTAATTTGAAAGCCCTTGAATTTCACAAGTGTTTGAAGTAGGCAGGATGGAGGGGAAAAGGAGAAAGGGAAGTATTACTTTAGATCCTGTTGTTGATACATAGGCAAAAAAAAACCCAAATCCATGCTTTTTTATTTTCTAGAGGTCCTTGCTTACTACCTCTATGTTAAACACAGAAACCTAGAGAACATTTTTAACAATATGAAATAAAGTTTGCCTCAACAAAAATAACAGTTAACATTCTCACCCTGCCACTCTGGATTGAAAAGGGGAATTTAAATTTAACCAAAGAGGATTTGCTCTACTTAGGGCTGACAAAATTTCAGGAATACAAAGTCAAGAGATAGTTTTAGACTCTAATCTAAATGCCAGTACAATGTTAAATTTCTCGTTCTGAATTTGAGATGTAAGACTGTCTCTAAACTCTGCAAAAAAATAATGCAAAGATGCTTGTGACAATTTCATTCTCTTAGGCTTTAAAGCAGAAGTCTTCCTTCGATACACAGTTCTTCTACTGTTAAACTTAAAGGTTTTAACAACACAAAATTGTTTTCTAAGTTATATATGCCATACAGTATATTATCTTGAGTTTAATCAAAAATTGTAAACTTGGTTCTAAAAGCCACACAACATTACCTGGAACACATTTTGAATTATTGTAGTCATCTGTCTTTCTTTTTCTAATTTATCAAGCATCTTCTCTGTTTCAGATACATTCACATGGGCTTGTTTCTCCTTTTGCCTTTTCATCATGGTATGAATTTGCTGTAGTTTCTCTCCTCCATATTTTTTCAGTGCTGTTACATTATTAGGAAAATTAAGCATTAAGTAGTTACGTGTACAGTGTACAGTAGAATTGAAGATACTCTTTTCCTCAGAGCCACCTAAAGCACTTCCAGTGCATAATCCTTATTTCACACTCCACTCCTTTCCTCATATATTCCTCAATATATTTCTTTTATGAAAGAAGCAACACATGCTGTGGCTACTTGGTTATCAAACTACATCAATTGGTTCCCTGGCCAACTGCAAAACAGAAAGTACATTGTATGCTGCCTGCATTTCCCTCACACAGGGAGTAATTTGCATCTCTGTCCTATACCCTGTTTTTGAGTGCCACAACTTTTATAGGTCTTTTTTGTACCTTTTGAAGACCCTTACTCCTTTTTCAGATTTCACTGAAACCAAATTCCAAAGTCATACAAGGAGAATATGTACATGACCAGCGAATATTACTATTTTTATAGGAAACCAGGTTAAAAACTAGACTGATTAAAAGTGTTTAGGGGCAGTTCATGTGTTGAAAGAATGCTGGCAGAGCATTCCTTCCTTTATCTGCAGAGATATCAGTATGTTAATTTTCCCCATGTGAACAGTTTTTGTTCATTACTGTCTACATATACACAACTCCCTGCATGTGAATCAAACAATAGCTGTTAGAATTGGTGGCAAACCTGGTCATGAAAGAAAGAACATTCAAAGAGCGCATTTACCATATGAAGTTCTGAATATTGATGTCACGTCTAAATTTGACCCACTCTAACAAGACTACTGAAAAGCAATATATATATATATATATATACTTCTTTCTAGGCAAATTCCCTCTCTATTCTGCAAATACCTCATAAATGTGCCGTAGGACAAAAAAGTATCTTTTAGGTGCTGTAGGGCTGATTTAAATGACTAAACAATGTGTAACTTTCTGAGGAGCTTACCTGAAATAATAAAATGCTGCCACGTTGTTTTTGAGTATTGTCTTGCATCTCACAGTAATGTGTCAGTCTCACAAGTAGGGAACACACCAGCTCATTTCTACAGTACTTTCTATTCTTTTAACAAGTTTTATAACTGAGTTGAGTTTTGCCGCTTCCCATGTAAATTAATATTGCTACAAGAATAACTTTAAAATATGAACTATATGAACTCTACATTAAAATACAAACCAAAGCCAATACAGGTAACACACTTACAGAGTCTTTCCCTTTTAATGTCAATCAGCTGCTGTTCCTTCTGATGTACTTGCTGAAAGAAAAAAAAAAGTATTTTCCAGACTCTTGTCTTCAAAAATACTGAAAGATGCTAATTCAATCCCCAAAAACAGCTAAGGATAACTCTAAACCAGACTTACTTACATGATCACTTGAAGTAATCCTTAATTTTGACAGCAGTAGGAACTGCACCCATGTTACCACATATTTAGCTTTGAATGACTTGTGCAGTCATGCTGCTTTCAAAGTGCACTCCTGCCCATGCTGAGGTTGGTTTACCTGCACAACAGTAACAGAAGCTACAACTGCCACTCACCTGCTGATATTCAATTATTGTCCGGCTGAGCAATACTATGTGTTTCATTGTTTCCAGGATCAGACTAAGGAAGGAAACAATTGCATAGCTTAAGACCACTAATATAAGTCAGTATCATAAATGTTAAAATCAACTTTATTTAGTTTAAGTAAAGAATTTCTGATTTCTCCTAATAGCAAATTAGTAATAAGTGTCACTTCTTTTTGCACTTACACTTACAATATCCCTTCTTTTTACAGTTAATATACTCAGTGTCACTGTACAGGCCAAAGAGGTCCGTTACTTCCCTCTCAATTTCTCTTAAGATTTCATTTAAGTCTGCCCAACATTTTACATCACAGAGTTTGGATGGCATCAAGAAAGCCTAGCCATCTGGAAATGGCTATGAATTAAAGCTCCTAAATCAAGGAGATGCAATCTTGCAATCTCTTACCGGTATTTCTGACAGAAATTAAATTTCTCATATTACACTTCATATGCATCCACCTGATAATAATGGGCAGGCAACAAAAAGCTACTTTTAAAAATGTTTAAGCTTTCAGTTCTATTTCAAAGACATTTTGCTCCTACATAGTTAATTAATAAAGGCAGCAAAGCAGAGGCAAGGCCCTGTTACAAGCCTGTAATGTGCTTGGCTATCATAAATGCAGGTAATTTAGGAACTAAAGACAAAAAGCTCTCTTGGCTACGAGCAGTTCTTACTAGTGAATCAAGAGTTATGATCTCTGTAATCAAAGGTGGGTAAATTCAAAGCCCAACTGCAAATCTACCATGGGTGTATGAAGTCTGATCATGCTGATTCTAGCCAGAAGGTAGACACTATATCATTCTGTCAAATCTAGAAAAAGGAAGCTCGCTTTCACAAGAGGTGAAATGAAATAATCTAGAAATGTGACACAATAAACTGTGCAAAGTCCATTGCTTTCTAGCTGCCTGACTCCCAAGAAGACCTTACCGTGAGTCCTCATCATCTTGTTTCAATTTGTTTCTCAGGGCATCCATAATTTGGGTCCTGCATATTGCAAGAAATAGCATATGACTGATGAGAACTCATAAGAAACTGAGAAAAGCAGGAAACAGAGAGAAGCAGATTTAAATAACTAATATAAGAACATAATTTCCAGGATTCCACTTTCATCCACTTTCACATTGGAATTATATAAACAAAATACTCAGTACCTTTTAAATACCACACTTCTTAAATAATGGGGCTTAACTCTCAGGACAGGAAAGATACATCAATGATTATTTGTGAGAATGACAACTCCTTTTTCTCTTGACCAACATATTTGGACACCATTAATCCCAGAGTCTGCAGAAAGGAAGCTGGGCAAAAGTGTGAATTCAAATAAACAGCCATGAAACACATGCCTAACATTATTAACTTCCATCTTCTCACAGGCATTTGGAAAATACTGCCAAGAAATATGCTTACTGATCTGTACAGTCACTCTTTCCCAACTGTAAAGGAGCTTATGGGTGTACACATTTCAACCTGTAAGTTTTATGTTTTGGTGGGCTTTTTTTTGCTTTGTTTTCTACAGCATATCCATCTGCATTCCTATTGTTCAACGGTACTTAAAATCTCCCCCATCTCCCATATCACTTTAATATCCTGTACCTATGTATATATGCATCTATGTATGCACACACACAGAGAAAAGCTCCAAATAAAGGGTGAAGGAAATTCTACCTGTGCAAGGCCAACGTCTTGTTCTGGAAAGAGACTTTTGCATCCTCTAGATCTCTTTCCAAATCTTGTGTGGCACTGAAAGACAAAAAGCAATTAGACAAACTGAGTGTGAAGATAACAGAGTCACATTTTAACTTGCTTTCTACATATCTAATGTAAGAATTTTTCATGTGAGCCACAAATCATTAGGGCCAGGAGTAATTTAGCACGTGGAACTATATTAGTGAATTCTAGCCATCATGTAAAGCCATCATGCAAATTTAAAACCCACATCAGATACAGAAGTACATTGGGAGGATGAATACAGCATTTCTTCCCCACAATTCTTCTTAGTTTCCATTATTTTCACCAATCTTTTCTGAAGTACTGATTGCAAATCCAGCAATTCACTAAGAAGGAATAACTAGACGAGAATTTTGAAGTTATCCAGTGACATACCTCTGGCTAAAGTTTTCTTCAATTTCATGATCAAGGAAATTTTCCTGACCTGCAAAAGACAATGCTGCTAAAACAAGTACAACAGAGACTTTTAAATACAATCTATAGAGCATAAAGGATTAGCATTTTTTTTGTGGGAACAAGTTATTTCTTACTTCTTCCTCAAAGCTTTATTATATTTTACTGTTAATGAGGCTACGCTATCAACGAGCTGTATCAGAGAAATAATTAATTTAGCATTTTTTAGATAAGCTAGAGCTGGTTCTTGCCATTGCTCTATGTATGCCACTGGATAGTTCAGTGGAAGAGCATGTACCCAACTGCACCCTGGGCTGTATCAGAAATGTGTCCAGCTGGTCAAGAGAGGTGATTCTGCCCCTCTACTCAACTCTTGGCAGACTGGTGTGCTGCATCCAGCCCTGGGATTCCCAGCATAAGAAGGACATGGATCTCTTAGAGAAGATCCAGAGGAGGGCAGTGATCAAAGGGCTGGAGCACCTCTCCTGTGAGGAAAAGGGTGAGAGAGTGGTTGTTCAGCTTGGAGAAGGAGCACAGGGACTTTGCTGAGTCCTTACAGTCCCTGAATGGAGCTTACGAGAGAGCTGGAGAAGAACTTTTTACTAAGGTATGTAGTTTGTATTTGAAAGATGGTAGGTTTAAATTAGATATACTGTGGGGTGATGAGGCACTGGTAGAGAGATTGCCCAGAGAAGCTGTGGATGCCTCATCTCTGGGAGTGTTCAAGATCAGGTTGTCAGGTTGAATAGGGCTCTGAGTAAGATGATTTAGTGGAAGTGGCTGTGCATGGTGGGGGATTAGGAACCAGATGTGTTTAATGTCCCTTCCAACCCAAATCATCTCGTGACTCTACAGGTTATGGAAACACCTTAAATCAGTATTGCTGCCAAACACTTTGGCAAACTTTTGGCAAGACTTCAGCCCCAGTGACCAAATTTCTGAAAACCATCACTACATATCAGAGGAGCCTAAAGTTCAAACCCAGAAAAGGAAGGAGAGGGCAGTGGGCAGCAGCTATATGGCATCTTTGCAAACATTTAAATATGTCTCAAAAGCTGCCTAGAAAATGTGTTAAAATGTACAGCCAGGAAAAAACCCCCATCATTATCGTAAGGAACACTTTTAATAAATAATTAAAGAAAATATTAACAAACTATGTAAATATATCTTTATATATTAAAATATAAATATAAATGCCACATCCCATTCTTTGTTAGTGCAACGTCCCCCTGCGAGGAGGGATATACTTACCGGCAAGAATAGCCGTGTTGTACTCCATGAGCTGCTCCTTCATTCGGTCCCTCAGGCTGCGGCGGGAGTAAAGCGACAACGGTCAGAGGCTGCGCATCCCTTCATCCCACCCCGGGGCTGCTCCCCGTCCCGTCCCGCCGGCACTAACCGGACCAGAGTGGGGACATCCACGTCGCCGTAGCCTCCGCCGCTGCCCTGGGACCACGCTGGGGCCGGAGTCGGCTCCAGCTCTCGGGTTGGAGCCGGGGCCGGGGTTAGGGCCGGGGCCGGCATCAGGGCCGGGGCCGGCATCGGGGCCGAGTCCGAGTCCCGGCTCGGCGCCGCCATGACAGCACCTTCAAAACGCGCGGCTCCCGGCGGCCCGCGCGCCCCGCGCGCCCTGCGCCTGCGCAGAGTAGCGGCGGGGCGGCGCTGCCCTCAGTGGCCTGGTCCCCTACGCGCAAGGGAAACGAGAAAATAACTTTGGCAGCGCACTAGGTAAAGCGCAATAGTTCTTCCCTCTGACCTAGTTCTCACATGGAGATAGAAGCAATAGGTGCAAGCTACTAAAAGAAGTAAAAAATTGACTGCAAAAAATAAGCACTAAGTGAAGAGAGCTGCTGCATAGAACCAGACTTAATTGGGTTTAGGAGCAAGTGCAGCTGTCAACCCAGCACAATGATCCTGTTCACCGTTAAACCATGACCTGAAATGTGAAATGTATCATATTCACACATTATTGAACATGCCCAGTGTGAAAAACGCCAGTCACTTGTTTTTAAAATTTTAAAAGTTTAATAGTAATAAAATGGTTATAAAAATAGTAATACAATTAAGAGTAATAATAATTTGGACAATTTGAATTAGGACAATATGAGACAATAGAACCAAAGAGTTACGGACATCCGGGTACCTTTTTCAGTGCAGTACAAGCCCGAAAAAGAACACATGTTAACAAAGGATTAACCCTTAAAAACAATAGCCTGTTGCATATTCATACACCTCATACATGATGCATAAATTCCATTTAAACACAGGATTATGTCTGGTCATCGTCAGTTTCTTCCTCTGAATCCTTTCCTTCGAGGTGGGAAAAAGTTTCTTCTGATAAGAGGGCCATAAATTCTTTTTCTCTGAAAGATTTAGGTGCCCTGTGGCTGCTATCTCGCTGCAAGTAATTTCTTTTAAAAAAAGGTATCCTACATAGCATAGTTTCTATTTTAACATTTTTTATAACCTAAAACTATATTTAACACACTTTGTTAAGAGAATTAATACAGCATTACCGTCTAACACAACACATAAAATATTCATTTTAATATTTGTGAAAAGCCAATCATAAAATACGCATTTTTCACACCTAGGGATGCTGACTCCTGTACAGCTCTGGGCACCTTGTTCCAATGTCTGACTACCTTGGACAGCCTCTGTAATTGTTTAAGGAAGGGTACATTACGGCTCCACCAGCCAGTCTCCAAGAGTCCTCAACAATTTCTCCTTCCTCTTTGAGCTCTGCCACCAGGCTGAGCAGATCACCACCTCATGCAGCTATTTTCTCTGCTGCCCCCAAGTCTAATGTGGCAAACACTCCCCCACCAAATAGCAGAGCTCATGGCAGTGCTGCTGTCCGTGCACCGCCCTGTGTGACCAGCCACGGCACCTGAGCTGGCCCGAGCTCAGCCAAGCTCTCAGTACTGCTCACAGGCTCCAGGGAGATGCCTCAGCTGCAGGAGGAAGGTAACTGTGCTGCCCTCCCCTCCGGAAAAACCCAACCAAACAAAAATTATAACAGCTTTAATAAGTTTAATACAAATAAGGTACTTTGTATACACAGTGAGCAGCATTCTGCTTAAATTCATATAGAAGTTTAAAATTTTTAGCCAGATCCCATATAATGGGGGACTACAACTGTTCAATGGTGCTTATCTTGGTGTTGGCAGTGCTGGTGATACCTTAAAGGCCTAGAAATGAACCAACAAACTTTTGAGCCAATATTAGTGTGGGAGATAATATAAAGGCTGGTCTTTATTGGAGGCCTCCAGGGGAAGATATGGAAAAATGCCCCTCCCCCCACATCGGGTGAATACAGTTTTATAAGTTTAGCAAATTAACATAACTGCCAAGAATTGTCAATTAGATGCACAAGTGATGAAGCAATTCATCATTCACCTGTTCAACCATCTCTGAATCCTCTCTCACCCCCTGCTATCTAAGAATAGAAGCTAAAGTTTGCTTTTGAAAATGTGTCTCAAAGAGCTGCTTTCAATCTTGGCTCCCAGGAAGAACCAAGATAGGATGGGGGCCTTGAACCCCTGGGGTTTGGAGCCTCTGGAATGTGCTTTATCTTTCTGCCTGTCAGGGTAGGGAAAAGCTGAGGGGAAGTATGGGGGCTAGCTAGGAACTATGTACAACAATAATCTACAGAGCTATGAATATATATGAAAGGAGTATAACAGCAAAGGAACTATGTACAACAATAATCTACAGAGCTATGAATATATGTGAAGGAAGTGTAACAGCAAAAATCATTCTGGCATCAGTAGCATATTTCTTTGTAACTGCCTACAGAGAAATAAGGTTGATTATGTTTAACCTGTTCACTATTTCAGCTTACTTAATGCTCAGTGATCAAGCCAGGCCCATCCTCATACACAAACCCTGTTCATGGATGGTCCATGCCACCTAAGCAAGATAAAGATCTTCAGCTCAGAAGCGAGCAGATCTTATTTAAGTCTGTCTGCAGTGACTCAACTGAACCAGCCTCTGTGTGCCATATATTGACACATAACCACACATATTCCCCCCACACCCCTGCACCCTAAGATTCTTACCTTTTGCTTGGCAGTACACTCATTCACATTGATTACATTCTTTGACATATGCCGTATAACTGAGAGAATGTCATTCACAGTGTAAGATGTGTAGCATTGCAGAAGTGGTAACTGAAAGGAAGGGAATCCATTAGATAAGCCTATTAGAATAATCCAAGTACACTGGGTTCTTTGTCTTCAGTTTTGCTTGGACAATTATGGTCTCTTGTCTCACAGTGGGAGGTTTTAAAAGCTACTGCCCTACTGCTGTCTCCTTTTAGTGGTCCACAGAGAGACAAGAACATGGTGAAATACCATGAGGAATGGAGGAAGTGTGCACCTTGTAAGAGTGGCTTTTAAGCTGCTGCACAGGCATACTGAGTCACAAAGTAGGAGGTGGCCTGACAAGCACAACTTACAAACATGCATCTATCAAAGAGTTTCAGAGACAAACAGAAGGCAGCTGCTGGAATCATGGATGGAGGGATGTGAACCATGTCATAATTCACAATGCAGAGCTCCATCAGGTACTTGGCCAGAATGTTCAGTTTATCTGCAGTAAGTCAGAGTTGAATATTGGCTATCTCCAGAGCATGAGCATCCTGTCATCTTGGTTCAGTTAAATAGGAAGGAATACTTCCTTAGAGAGTACAGGGTTGAAATTCAAGTGCCTTAATCACAGAATACTTCTGTGTTCTATTTGGCTGCTCATAGTCTAGGACCGCCCCTTTCAATGGCAGTCTAGCAGTCACCTGCAATATCAGTGTCATGTTTCACTGTGGGAAACTGCAAGGAGTTATTTTAAAATTAAATGGTCAGGAACAAAGTTAAGTCAAACGAGACAAACATTACATCTAAGAACTGCTTATTCCTAATGAAAAACAAAATGAAAGGGAGTTACTCTACTAAAGAGGGTCAGACAAGACAGAGCAAGAGGAAGAAAAATGGGAAAGAAATGGGGGGTGGGGAAGAGAGTGAGTGAGTGAGTGAGTGAGTGAGTGAGTGAGTGAGTGAGTGAGTGAGTGAGTGAGTGAGTTGCCACTGGAGGTCGGGGAGTGCACGCTGCTTCATGGGCGACTGGGCACGAGGTGAGGGGGCACGGGCTCAGAAGCCTGGACAGGGTCGCAGTGAGGATCACAGCAGTGGGCTGGCTCAGAGGCCAGCAGGGTTGGATGCAGGTGGCTTAGGCAGGTGTTAGCGTTCAAACACACATAATCACATAAGCGATTATATGCGGTGCTTTTTATTTAAGAGCTCTGGGAATCAGGGTAGTTTCCACCCAAATCTGATTCCGACCATACATTCGAGGTGAACGTGTTTTATACTCTATCATTACATAACTGTCATGTTAATTATTAAACTTATATTGTTCTATTGTATACACAGATTTCAGCTAAACATAGCCCCCTTTAAATTTCCAAAATAGTTTCTCACGTTTCTTCTTATGGATATATAATAATTATATTTAATTACTAAACAATCATCACATCTAACAATTATATCTTTTATCATACTGCTTACGCAGGTGCAGTGATCTGAGAAAACACAAAGCCTAATATTTTCAAAGACTATTTTTAACATTTTCCAGGGCTCTACTATCACAGGGACACGGGGAAGCAGAACAGACACAAAGGTGACAAGAGCCAGTGAGGAAATGAGAGCCAACAGGCAGGCTGGGGCCAGGGCAAAGAATCAGGGGATGGCCAACAAGGCTGACATCAAGGATGACAACCAGGCTGGTGAGAGTCTGTTATAGAGCACCCAACCAGGATGAAGAGGTAGATAACTTATTCTACAAGCAGCTGGAGGATGTTTCAGGATCAGCAGCCCTTGTTCTTGTAGGTGACTTTAACCTGCCAGGCATCTGCTGGGAACTCAGCATAGTGGAGAAGAGGAAGTCTAGGACGTTCTTAGAGTGCATGGAGGACAACTTCTTGTCACAGCTGGTGAGTGAGCCCACCAGGGGAGGTACAATGCTAGATCTGCAGTTTGCAAACAGAGAAGGGCAGGTGGGAGATGTGGTGGTAGGAGTCCATCTGGGGCACAGTGATCATGAAATTGTAGAGTTTTCAATATTTGGTGAAACAAGGAGGGGCATCAATAAAACTTCCATGTTGGACTTCTGGAGAGCAGACTTTGGCCTATTCAAAGACTTATTCAAATAGTACCTTGGAAGCAGCCCTTAAAAACAAAGGAGTCCAGGAAGGATGGGTGTGCTTCAAAACAGAAATCTTGAAGGCACAGGAGCAGGATGTCCCTATGTGCCAAAAGATGAGCCGATGAGGAAAATGACTGGCCTGGATGGGCAAGGAGCATTTGAAGGAGCTTTTCTTTTTTTGAAAAAAAAGGAAAAAAAGAGGGTGTATCAATCTTGGAAGGAGGGTCAGGTATCTCAAGAAATGGTTAAGGAAGTTGCAAAGTCATGTAGGAAAAGAATTATAGAGGCAAAAG